TGACACTCACCGAAAGCGGTGTTTCCTCATAATGGCAGCCATTTTCGCGCCCTCGGTAAGTGAGGGCAGGGCGCGAAAATGGCTGCGGCCGCCGATCAGCTGGCCGATGGCCGAAAATGGGGCCGGCGCTAGGGCAGGAGGGTGGGGGAAGGCTTCCACGCCCTCCTCCCCAGCTCACCCCTGCTTCTTCAGCTGGCTGACCAGCCGGCGATCGGCCAGGAGGGGAAAAGAAGCTTCCTTTCCCCTCCTGCCGAGCGCGCAGGGGCGTCTGTGCCGGCGATCAGCCAGGAGGAGAAAGGAAGGCTCCTTTCCCCTCCTGCCGAGCGCGCAGGGGAGTCTGTGCCGGCGATCGGCCAGGAGGGGAAAGGAAGGCTCCTTTCCCCTCCTGCTGAACGCCCTTCTGGCCGGTGATCGCGATCGGCCAGGAGGGGAAAATAAGCCTCCTTTCCCCTCCTGCCGAGTGCGCAGGGGCTTCTCTGGCCGGCGATCGGCCAGGAGGAGAAAGGAAGGCTCCTTTCCCCTCCTGCCGAACGCCCGCCGACTTTTCCCCCCAGCTGACTGGCGGGAGATTCGGAAGAAGCCCCTCCTGTCAGCTGGGGGGAATGGAGCAAAAGCGATCGCAAAATCTTCTTCGTTAAGTGAATTCCTCGTTAAACGGGGCACCCTTTAAGCGAGGCACCACTGTATTTAATACTATTCCTAGAACTGCAGACTTGGAAGGGACTGTATGGATCATTTAATCCAGCTGTCAAGAACCCACAGTGGGGATTCAAACTCCCAGCCCCTGGCTCCGCAGGCATATGCCTAAACCACTGAGTTATCCAGAAGTTCTATCCAGCAAATATTTAATACTGTAATTAAATGACATAAATTTAATATGGTAATTAAATAATTAAACAATCAGATTAAAATCAGTAAACAATTAATAAAGTCTAACATAAATTTAAACTATTTTAAAATAGCAGCAGCAGCGGAACAAAACACCTTCCACTGAAAGGTCCAATGAACAGCAAAGGTTTGCTTAAATGAAAATATCTTGGCCAGCCAACTAAGGATCATAAAGGAAAGCCCAGTGAGCCTTCCTCAGAAGAAAATTTCTTAGCTTGGAAACAGCCACCAAGAAGGCTCTCTCTCTCTTGTCCTCACCAACTGCCTGTGAGGGTGATAGGACAGAGAAAAGGGCCTTTCCTGAGGATCTGAAGACCCCAGAAGGCTTATCCTTCACAGTTCTATTTTGACTGTCATGCTTATGTTCTGTCTGTTTGACTGCTGAATGTTTATGTTCCTGTGAGCACTATGTAAATATGTACAGTTAAGTAAATATTTTCTGCACTTATTCCTGGTGTCCTCCTGTGTGCCTTACTATGCTGGAGCTTCTGGTCCAAACCTTCATATGGAGAAAATCTTCTAGTGTGATTTTAAATGCTAACATAACACTCTGCAGCATAAGGCCCTTGCAACACCAGGACTTTATAATACCAAGATTCTAGATCACCAGAATATGGTCACCCTCAACAGTTCAGCTGTCTTGAACCATTATTGTTCAGAGACCTTGCTTGGCTATAGCTAGCCACTTGTTTGAAATGACTGTAGTAAACTGTTGTTCAAACCTCAATTTTAAAAGCACTTTCATTTTCAGTGCTACTTCTTCCTTAACCCCCTTGATTATTTTAACACTCTATACATACACATTTCAAACGTTGACATGGTCCTTACCTTTCCAGAGTGTTCTTCACATCCTAAAAAGGACAAGAAAGAAACCTAGTTAAGATTTGTCTAGTCGTGAAGGAAACCAACCCCTGAGTAAACATAGTCCAGACCTGTGAAATAAAAAAAATCTCATTGATAGTATCTTTAATCAAATAACATTATTATACTAAGCAAAAATGAAGAATCAAGGATTCAACCCTCCAATGAAAACCTACTGAAAAATAATATTAAAATGGTTCAAAGACTAGATGTTCTGCACAGACTACATAATATTTCAGCCTGTTACTGCAACATAAAGAAATACTGTATTAAGTTTCAGCAGTTGTTCAAGACTTATTTGAAAACAAAGATGGTGACAGGATCATACTAGCCTGTTCTGCCCTTGACAGCATGCTCATCCTGACATCTGCACAGTGGATTTCATAATGTCTGTACAGGAAGAACCCGTATCTAGCTCCTATCCATTATATAAAGCACACCAGTAAAGTCAGGGGACTATAGGCTGAAAAGTCCTAACACAAACATCAGCCGGGATGAATTTTGGGAGCAGCATAATCTAATGCGAGTCTGATGCTGATCTGAACATAGAATTTGGATGACTGTGCAGGACTAAAGTATCCCATTTTAATCACTTGTTACCCAGTTATTATGGAATCACATATACCAAATCATTCATTCTGCAATGATGATCTGTAAAGTGGAACAAAATTCCCTTTCACTTCTACCTGGAACAACTTCTCATGTCAGAATACAGAAAACATTTGCCTCGCTTTTCTTAACTCAGGCTGCAGCTACATGGTCCATTACTGTAGGATTTGCTGTGGGTATAAAATGGATAAATCAGAATTTTTAAAAACTGATCATAGGATGCAAAGGCCAATTCAAATCAGTCTGGCTCTTTTGATCCTGATGCAGAGCTTTTTTCTCTGTCACTGGGGGCTTCTACTTTTTTCAAGCTAGAAAATAGTAGCAGCAGATGAACACGTGAGCAGATGTTTTGCTCTGCAAGAAAAAAACAACAGAGGTGGGAGTGTGTGTGGTTGGTGTTCTGGCGACATTGGCAATTGGGGCATGATGTTTAAAGACTGCGGGAACATCCACCCCTGCAACCTGTCCCTTGCAATTCGTCCCAAGTATCCCAGAGCTTTTATTTTCTGGATAAATGAATTCAGTACTGATACACGAGTTTAGCACGAGATCACCTTGACACAAAAAATAATCAGCCCAGTGTGATTTTCGGCTGGGGGTGTCATGTTTCCGTGCTGTGATGGGTCTTGGGGGGTGTTTGTTTTTTGTTTGCCCCCCATTTCCGATGGGGGGGGGTTGGTTCCTTTTTGGAGTGTTTTTTCCCATTTCCAATGGGTCCTGGGGAAAAATGCATGTTAGTCTTTTGCTTTTAAAATCAGAAATGGTTTTGCAAAGGTATCTTTGGCTGCTGGGGGTCTAAAATGCAGTTTAGTCTTTTGCTTTTAAAATCAGAAACAGTTTTGCAAAGGTTTGTTCTGGTGGCTGCTGGGGTCTAAAATGCATGTTAGTCTTTTGCTTTTAAAATCAGAAATGGTTTTGCAAAGGTTTCTTCTGGTGGCTGCAGAGGGTTTAAAATGCATGTTAGTCTTTTGCTTTTAAAATCAGAAATGGTTTTGCAAAGGTTTCTTCTGGTGGCTGCAGAGGGTTTAAAATGCATGTTAGTCTTTTGCTTTTAAAATCAGAAATGGTTTTGCAAAGGTTTCTTCTGGTGGCTGCAGAGGGTTTAAAATGCATGTTAGTCTTTTGCTTTTAAAATCAGAAATGGTTTTGCAAAGGTTTCTTCTGGTGGCTGCAGAGGGTTTAAAATGCATGTTAGTCTTTTGCTTTTAAAATCAGAAATGGTTTTGCAAAGGTTTCTTCTGGTGGCTGCAGAGGGTTTAAAATGCATGTTAGTCTTTTGCTTTTAAAATCAGAAATGGTTTTGCAAAGGTTTCTTCTGGTGGCTGCAGAGGGTTTAAAATGCATGTTAGTCTTTTGCTTTTAAAATCAGAAATGGTTTTGCAAAGGTTTCTTCTGGTGGCTGCAGAGGGTTTAAAATGCATGTTAGTCTTTTGCTTTTAAAATCAGAAATGGTTTTGCAAAGGTTTCTTCTGGTGGCTGCAGAGGGTTTAAAATGCATGTTAGTCTTTTGCTTTTAAAATCAGAAATGGTTTTGCAAAGGTATCTTTGGCTGCTGGGGGTCTAAAATGCAGTTTAGTCTTTTGCTTTTAAAATCAGAAACAGTTTTGCAAAGGTTTGTTCTGGTGGCTGCTGGGGTCTAAAATGCATGTTAGTCTTTTGCTTTTAAAATCAGAAATGGTTTTGCAAAGGTTTCTTCTGGTGGCTGCAGAGGGTTTAAAATGCATGTTAGTCTTTTGCTTTTAAAATCAGAAATGGTTTTGCAAAGGTATCTTTGGCTGCTGGGGGTCTAAAATGCAGTTTAGTCTTTTGCTTTTAAAATCGGAAATGTTTTTCCAAAGGTTTCTTCTGGTGGCTGCTGGGTCTAAAATGCAGTTTAGTCTTTTGCTTTTAAGATCAGAAATGGTTTTCCAAAGGTTTCTTCTGGCGGCTGCTAGGGTCTAAAAGGCATCCATCTAGTGGTAGAGGACGGATTAACCGGCTTTGCATTCGTTCCTATGGGAATGAATGCTTTGACTTACGAACTGTGCCTTGACATAACAAAAAACAGCCGCAACGGATTAATCGGTTTCCAATGCATTCCTATGCAAAATGCTGCTTTGAGCTACAAACATTTTGACTTACAAACACCATTCCAATACGGATTAAATTCGTAAGTCAAGGCAACACTGTATTTATTCCCACAGCTCAATAAACTATCCTGTCGGCAAGAAAAGATGAGGAAACAGAGTCACTGAGGATGGAAAGCATTTTCTTTGAACTGTACCATCTACAGGTGCTTCCAATAGAAATGCAATAAAAAGGATTTTTCTCTCTGTCTGTGTAGCCACTTATATTGAAGAGAATTGAATGCCTTGGTGCGACTTCACAGTGACAGAAGGCAAGTAGTTGCACCCTTGCCATTATTTGTCACAGCTTGAATGTGATCCTTTACTTAGCAGGGAGGGGGTATACTAGGCTCTCTCACAGTATACTCTCAGCCATCCTGTGAAGTGGCACAATAAACGGATAGTGATGCACCTAGTGAACTTTAAAGCTGCTCATACATGTCAAACTGTGGGTCTTAAGATGTTGCTGGACTGCAAGCCCCAACAGCCCTAAGACAGCATAGTTAAGGATATGCGAGGTCATGTCAATCACAGGCAAACAAACTTGTTCTCATTTAGTCCCTTATGTCATTATGCCCTGGTCTACACCAAAATTAAAAGCATGTTTAATTTATCCACATTTAGATGTGATGAGTTTAATTGAGTAACTTTTACTCCATTTGTTTTTTAAATGAATTTTATTTACTCATCCATGAAAAACCACCACCACAAGTCAAGTCATTTCTGACTTAAGATGATGCCCCAGGATTTTCCAGGGAGAAAATACCCAGAGGTGTTTTCCCAGTCCCTTCTCCTAGGGCCATCCTAGGGCCAATGCAGCTTGTGCACGGCCACACAGGTGGCCACACATGCTCTGGGTGGTCTATGATGGCCCCGTTCCATGGAAACAGAAAGCCACACACCACAACCCACTGAGATTTGGACGGTCTATACTCAACAAACAACTTGCAATGAATTCCATAAAAATACTTTGATTGCAAAATGGATGCAAATAAACAAATGGTTTAATTTCTTCCATAGCGAATGCAAATTGAAAAATATTAAATAAAATGCAAAAAAGTGTTTTCTTTCTTTTTTAAAGAAAAAGGCTCACCCCTCTCCCCCTTTTCCCCCCAATCTGACAACACCCTCTTCAGATGGGCAGCCCTTGACTAGTTGGCTGACCTGAAAAATGCTTCTTTGTCCCAAGAGAGATGCCAACCCCAATTTTAGAGAGACAGAGGAGTCCATTTTGCCATATGCTACTCTCCTCAGACCTGTTTCAGGTACAGGTGGGATTTGTTTTGCTTTCTTTCGAAAGCTGGCTTGGGGCACACACAAAAAGAGTACCCTCCCTTAAAAACTAGTAAATGTCCAGCAAGTCAAAACCACGACAAATTTGACCTTACTTCCTCTAGAAGGGGCAAGATGCCTTCCTAAATCCAAAAAAGAGAGGAAAAAGCATGTCCTGATATACCAGTTGTGGCACAGCTATGAATAGGATGCATATTTGAGGGATGGGGCTGGACCTCTTGAAGCTTCCTGGCACTGTATTAAAGGATGGCCATTCCAAGAGCCATTTGTTCCAAGAAGAACTGAGATAGGCCTATTCTCTACCCACTGGGGAAGGACGCTATGATGCCCATCTCACCTTGAGCATCTCCATGCCTGACTGCAAGCATTTTTCCTCAATCTCTGTGATGAGGCTGTTAAGGGCGGCCCGTTGCTCGGACAGCTTAGCCACGTTTTCCTTTAGCTTCTGCAGGATCTCCTTCTCTTCATTCTCCAAATGCCGAATCAGCACTTCCTGCTCTGCAGTCAGGAACAGATGGAGCTCCTCAAATTCCCTGATGATGAGCTGGCGGCGATCCTCAACTTTCCGCTATGAAGAGATGGGGAAAAAGGGACAGAATAATAAGTTCGAGGTATGGCATACACTTTTTCACTCAGGCAAGTAGGTTTAGTCTCTGAATTTTATCTGACTTTACAGCATCTGCCTGTTTTCAACATACTAATGCTGGTTTAGGACTTTACTCTTGGTTTCAATTGCTGTTATTCTCTAAGAGATGTGGAAGAACCAGAAAAAAAGAAAAAAAATGTACAGTAGCACCCCTGTATTGGTGGGATCAGTATCCACAGTTTCAATCATCCACAGTCTGAATATATTAAAAAAATATTAAACTATGAAACCCTCCCAAAATCTATTTATAGGATGCAATTACCAAAATTGACCACTAGAAGGAACCAGAGACTATGTTATATCGATAATTCGGTGCCATTCTGCCTATTCTCCGGGCATCTTGAAGCAACTTCAAGGGGTTCTCTATCCATGTTTTTCTATATCCGGTTTTGTGTGTGTGCGTGCGTGCGTGTGCGCGCGCGCGCGCTGAATGGATAAAAGTTGGCTGTTTCAATTAAACAAACAAACCAATCTTAAACTGGAAATCATCTAGTGAAAAGTAGTACCAGCAGGTTTAGAAATGACAGGAGGATTAAGTTCTTCACACAGCTAGGGTGTCAAGAGAGATAGGACGGAATGGCTCTAAAAAGAACTTTGAAATAAAATGTCAGAAGAATAAAAAGATATCCAACCGCATGGCTCCAATAAGCAGCAATCAGACTGCAAAGAAAAAGCTTGCCAAAGAAGGTCACAGAAGAGAACTGAACAGAATTCTTGGCACAAATGGGGCTTTTTATACTGATGATATAGAAAGAGCTTGAAAACCAGCCAAAATGAGATTTTTTTTTATAGAAGATAAAAAATATCTCAGGACTGCTAGAAGGCAAAGAATAAAATGTTTCTTTTAAGGTTATTATGAACCTCTGATTAAATTACAATATATCAGAAGTAACAGACAGCTTGATTGGTCTGTGAATGTTATACAATGACAAAATAGTTGCTTTTAGCAACATGAGCACACAGATCATCATCTTAATCACCATCGCTGAATTGCAGAGCTGGAAAGGACCCTATGGATCATCGAGTCCAGCTCCTGTCAAAGAGACACAGTGAGGAAGCAAACCTCCCAACCTTTGGGTCCACAGCCAGATACTTAAACCACTGACCTATCCAGCAGTTCATGAATGAATAGCTATTGATAGCCAGTTGATAATTACTATCTACTCTGCTTTTAAGCAATTTCATTGGCTGGAGAAATAGATAAACCTCAATCTCACCCTAGCCCCAAACATAGGTTGAAGACTAGAATAAAAATGTGATTTACATGAGAAACAGAGAAGAAGAGATGAATACTTGACAGTCATAGGTGCTTCTGCTGGCTAACCCTTTATGTTCATAATTACAAGAGAATTATATTTCATATATACGGCATATCTTTATAATTTTTAAAATACTTTTAAAAATAGGCCCTGGCTCATAATGAATAAATGTTCTCTTTTTACACTACATGGCTAAAATTTCTCCTACTAACTATCTTAGGCATAATAAACGGCTTGCATCTTTTTGGAGTTTTCTTATTTTTATACATCAAATTTAAGCTTTCAAAATAAAAGAAATAACTGTATGTGTTCCGTTATTATACAACACATTTTTCTTCCCTGAACTGGGTTGTAATATTGACAAAGATATCTAGAAGGCTTTTTTTAAAGCCTTTTTTTCTGGAGAAGGTCACATTTAAACAAAAGGTGGTCTTTTTAGAAAATGAATTTTACACTATATGAAGCTTAAATGCAGGTATTTCCTGCCCTTGGAAGTCTCCAGTTTAAAATTAGCAACTGGTAAGAATAAAAGAAAAGGTAATATGCTAGACTTTCAAACTTGACAATGGTACAGGCAAACCGGGGAGACCCAAATTTAAGTCTCGCTAATTAGAAAATTGTTGCATTTATCTGTAAGGTAGTCTCCATCTATAACTCATGATAATATAGATGCATTATTCTGAGTTCCATTATAAGCAATTCTGAAGATTCACAGCTGCTCTTAAAAATAGATATGACAAGTGTTCTATGTACCTATAACAATTTTATTTTTAAAAGCTCCCCCCATGCAAGCTGAACATTTTTTTAAAGAGTAATTTGGTTCTAAGATGGAAGGAGCAATGGAAAAGTGGGCACCAATGCTGGAGGCATTCAAAGGAACAACCACTGGTCAAATCTACTTTGATTTGGATTCCTGCACTGAGAAGGGAGTTGGCTCGATGGCCTTATAGACCCCTTCCAACTCAGTTATTCTCAATTCTATGATTCTAGGTTAAGAGACTAAATTTCAACAAACGGAACACTTAAATAACCTAATCTTATTCATCTAAGACGGAAGACGAAACTGTCTCCCAGAGCCTCCAAGACAAACACAGTGTCCGTCACAGCTCTTGCATTGAATGGAGATTCAAGGGCTGGTAGTAGAGACAGAAAACAGAGCACATATCACCTGCCTTGAGCACCCCAGGCTTCTTCTCCTCCTGGGCTTTACAGTAGGCAATCTTCCGCAGCTTCCGTTCTAGCGGCTCCAGGCATTTCTGCATCTTTTCCTGCATGGATGAAAAGCAACTTAGGAGGAGCAGGAAACCCATCGTGCTGGTATATTATCTTGCTGCCTGTACACAGCCTTCTCCTGCTTTTCCTAGTGGCTGCTTTTGTACACAGGGAATCCATGTAGCCCTCTTAAATAATAATAATAATAATAATTTTAAAGAACACTGAAAAAGCTATTTTATTCTATAGTTGAGGACAAAAACTGGCCCAGAGCAGTGTATGAGTACCTTAACTCAGAAGAAGGGAACCTGTGGCCCATCGGAAGTTGTTGGACTCCAACTCCATCAGCCCAAATCAGAACAGCCAAGCAGAGACATTGGAGGCTGCAGCTCTGTATGACCTGGTGAATCCCAGTCCTCACTCCTACTCTACATACATAAAACAAACTGGTAAGTTTCTAGATCAAAACTCTTCTGTACTGCAAACTTACGAGGTGGCAAGCATCCACCCCATCCATCACCACGCTCCCTGCTCCCGACTCCCTGGTCTCCACCATGGAAACACTTGTGTATCCCACTGAACACATCTGCATGCCAGCAGCTGTGCATGACAACACTACCCTACCTAATGAGAAGGGGCCACAGTTTAGCAGCAGCTCTGTGTAGCATGATCTTAGGAAAATCTCAGCTCCCTTGGATGTCAAAGACATATGGCGTTGGAACCAATGAATCTGAAATATTATTCCATTACGGTTCTTGACTTCAAAAGATAATCCAAGGATTCAAACGCAGTGTGAAACCACAGTTGTACTGTTTCACGGCCATATCTTACATCCTACTTTTATAGTACAGAAGACAGCTGTAGCAAGTTGTGCTAGTGATGAAAAAAGCCAGACAAAGTTTCCGCTTGTTTTACTTTTTAGTAAATGAATAAAGTTCATAAATAACTTATTATGCAATCCCTCCCTCCTATTCCATATCACATTTCTGAATCCAAAACTAATTTTATTAGCTGTACTCACTTAATACACAAATGTAATACAAGCAATGCATCTAATAAAATCAAAGCCTGCTTCCCGTTTTGCCTTCTAATCAACATGCCGGTTCAGGCAGTGAACTGCCATCAGCAAAATCCAAACAAATGTTTCTCTTTATTTCTGCTATAGACCTCTATGCTAGAGGTCAAATCAAGCCTGAAATCTTTCGAGAAGCAAAAATGTCAAAACTGAGGTTGTCATCTTTTGACCACATTGTGAGAAGACAAAACTCAATTGAAAGAACAATAATGCTAGGAAAAGTTGATGGCAGCTGGAAAAATGGAAAGCCAAATATGAGGTGGATTGACTCCATCAAGGAAGTCACAGGCTTGAGTTTAAAAGAGCTGTTAATGATAAGACATTCTGGAGGTCACTCATTCATTGGATCATAGTAAGTTGGAGGCTGTTTGATGGAACATAATAAGAATTATGCTAGAGATCCCACTATGCGTACAGAACACTGTTGTAGGGTGAAAAATTTGACACTGCTATATTTTTTCACAGAAATGTCTTTATTTCTAAAAATGCAGTGTTTAATAAAATTAATTAGCAGAGTAATGAACTCAATAACAATAACAATCTTTTGTGAAGTTCAAATTGTATATATTTTTATATGCAATTTGACAATGGGCACATATAAGATACATAACTGTACAAGTCTTTGGACACGCTACAACTGGCCTCTATATGATTTGAAGGATTTTAAATAGATTCTTTGTCTTCACGTAAAGAGCTAGATAAATGATCATCCCTGAAACCATTCCAACAAAATAATTTTCCGAGGAACCTTCAGATACACTTGACAGTGCACCCTTCTCCCTTCAACAACGCTTGGTATACGGACGCCAGTCCAAGTAGTCCAAAATCTGCATATAACTTTTATGTCTCCAAAAACGTAACTACAAAGTAGAGATGGGGGTATTTGTATATGAATACCCCTGCATAGGTAGACATAATGGGGGTCCAGCCCTCTGGGGTTGGACTGTCTACTCACCTTCTGCTGTAGTTGCAGACTCCGCACTCCCTTTCTATGGCTCCGGAGCTTGCAGTCTGCGAGCCACTCTTCAACCTTGAAATGAAGCTCGTCCTCATGTCTCCTGCCAGGAGTGGCTTGCAGACCGCAAGCTCCGGAGCGATAGGAAAGGGTCGTGGAGCTTGTGGCAACAGCAAAAGGTGAGTGGATGGTCCAGCCCCAACCCTCATTATGTCCACCTGTGTGGGGGTATTTGTATACAAATCTCTACTACAAAGCATAAACAGTTGATTCATTCACTCACTCAAACCGTCCCCTCTCCCAACCCATGTCAGCTTCCCAGCATGCCCCAGTAACCTCTCTGGCTGCCACGTGGAGCTGCCATGACAGAAGAAGGCACTGCCATCAGACCAGAGGCCACCGCGCTACCAACAGGAGCCTAGATATGTATGTATATAACCAAAACCATGCTGTGCAGTTCAAAGAAGAACTGTATGTGAAACAGAAAAAACAAATACCCTTTAACAGATGTATTCTCAGCTGAACTCAGTGGAACTTACTTTTGTGCAGAAACACACAGCATTCCAGTGTAAAACAGCTAAATCACACAGCCATTTGCTTGAGCCCTTTATTGATCCCCATACAAATATTTCACTTCCAGTGTTATCCTACAAATGTGTACTCAGATGTAACTTTTATTACATTAATGGGACTATTTTTGTATAAGGGTGTAACTTAAGGCAACTTAAGGCCTGGTTGTTCTCCAAGCCTTTCTTTAGTTCACCCGAAAGTAATCTTACATTCGCCTCTTGTTCCACTTTCTGTGTTTTGTTTTTTTTTCCAGCCAGAGGGCCTTTTGGACTATTGTACCCATCAGTTCTCATCTATCATGATCCTGAGCTTTCGTGTGTTTTTTTAAACAATGTGTTTTATTGCTTTCTATTATTGTTATGTTTGATGAGTTTGCCACCCAGAGTGGTAGCTATAAATAAATGAATGAATGAATGAATGAATGAATGAATGAATGAATGAGAGGCCCAAGATGGCAGAGGACTAGCAGAGCTCAAACTAGGTGAGCAGAAGCTATGTTCAAACCAATTTAACCAAAAGACATTGGAAATTACTCAGGGCTACCTCCAGTGTAGTGTAGTGGATAGAGTGGCAGACTAGATCTCTGGAGAACAGGATTCAAACAATACACACACACATACACACACACACACACACATCAAAGAAGATAAATGAATTTGGCAGTCACCACTTTTTTCAGAAAAGAAATATAGTTAATTTGGCTGCACTGACTATAATCTGTATGCCAGAAAGATTGAGTCCTTCCAAGAATTGGTTACAAACCAGATGAGATATTGTAGCAGCCTGTAACTGTTCGTAAGATAAAAGAATGTTAGTTATATGGTAACCGCAACTGATAAAGATATAAAGTACTGTAGTTTTTAAGGAATGTTAGCAGCAAGTTTAATAGAAGGAACAGAAGCCAAAAACTAGACTATGATAAAGATAAACATATTGTAAATAAACAAGAAACATAACTGAGATAATTAGAAAAAAGGATTTCAGCTTTAACAGAGGCTTGTGATAACAGATAATGTAGTGCTTGTAACCAATTTAATTGGACAAATCGGATGACTTGCCAAAAGTGCACGATAGCAATAATACAATTGTTTAATGATTTACAGACAATATAATCTCAGCTTCTAGCTGCTGTCATTGGCTGAATCATGGTTAAATGCTGGATGACATGGCCTTCATGACGGAGAATACAGAGATAGGCAGTAAAAGCCATATGATAATGTCTAAAGAGCACATTAATATTGTGCATGGATTGCAACTAATAAAGATAAGAAAGGCAAAAATACAAAGTTAATTGAGATAGAAATAGAGGACAAAGAGGAATGAAAGAAGACAGTATGGAGGAATATTAAGATGTTTGTGCTTTCAGGTAAGAAAATATATTCTATTATTTTAAATATATTAAACATTAAACGGTTTGTCTCCTTCGATTTTTAAACCTGGCTTTCGTTCATAAAGGATACTAAAATCTTATTATGCATTTAAAATACTTTCTATTAACTACCTTTGTGTAGTAGTGTTTTTTTACTTTTTATAATGCGATTTTCTCTCTTTTTTTGATAGAAGTTTGACAAATTGCTGTTATATAACCTATTTTTCTATTAAGGAATGGGAGAATAAAAAAGAGATAAAAAGAATAAAAAATGTCTGACAAAAGAGAATTATTTCACCATGAATGATATATAACTTAGTTTTTCTGTCCAGAAGAGCGCTGAAACATTTATACAGTGGTGCCTCACTTAACGATTGCCCTGCATTACGATGAATCCGCTTTATGATTATCTTTTTGCGATCGCAATTGCAATCACAAAATGATGGTCTAAATGGGGGAATTTCGCTTTGCGATGAACGGTTCCTTGCTTCGGGAACCGATTCTTCGCAAAACGATGTTTTCTGAACAGCTGATCGGTAGTTTCAAAATGGCCACCGGGTAATTAAAATGGCTCCCTGCTGTGTTTAGGGATGGATTCCTCGCTATACAGGCAGCAAAAATGGCCCCATATGGAGGATCTTCGCTGGATGGTGAGTTTTTACCCCATTGGAATGCATTGACCGGGTTTCAATGCGTTTCAATGGGGTTTTTAATTTCGCTTTACGATGTTTTCGCTTAACGGTGATTTTCCTGGAACGGATTATTATCGTTAAGCGAGGCACCACTGCATAAGAATATCCACAAAACTTCCCTTTAAAGAGCTAAGAAAAATCTGAGTTTCCAGCAAATAAAACTCTTCCATGCAGACAGAAATATCTGCTGTGGGGCAGTCAATACGATTCTTTGACCTGCTCAGTGTCTACATGTAATTGGTTTTTAAGCAGCTTTATCCAATCAACTTATTAACATACAGATTAATTCTACTCTTCTTGCAGTTACAGAAAGCCCACAAATTAATAGAAGTCAATAACTGGTAACGTGACTCACCAACGGATTGATTTTGAATTATCTGGTTAACTATATATAAAACAGATACGGTATCAAAGGACCAATAAACTGAATCTTTTCCCAAGGCACAGCTTACTGTTTGGTATTAAATTGTAAACGCAATTATCTTTCCCATCATTGCTTTTATGTTGCTATTTGTTGTTCTGGCATTCTTAACTGCTATTCTTTGAAAACAATGCAATGCCTGCCTTTGCAAACCTTGACAATGAATGTATGACTTCCCCAGGTCAAATTTCATATCCTTTGTTTTTACAGATTTGCATTCCTCCACCTGTAAAGCCCTGTTCTGGCCACAAGGAACTCTGTGCTTCTCCACCAATAGCTTGGAGCACAGGCAGGGCCACTGAGGAATGGAGGTCTCAGCCTCAGGGAATCCAGAAGACTGCAGCAATAGCGGTAGCACCAAAACACTGGAGTCAACTCCTGGCGGAGCTGCACCTGGCTCCCCCTTCCTCCCAACATTTAAAAGGTGCTTGAAAAACACTTCTTTTCAGAGAAGCCTTTCTCAGTTACCCAGCCTGATTTTTTCATTATAGCTCACATTCTGCTTGTAAGCTATAATTTATACCTCTTTGAGTTTATAGTTATTATCTGTGTGCTGTATTTTAATTTGACTGTTTCTATGTTTTTACCTGCTGTAAACCACCTAGCAGAGGAACAGGAGACCAAATTGCTAACAAGCGCTGGATTATGGAGAAAGCCAGAGAGTTCCAGAAAAACATCTACTTCTGCTTCATTGATTATGCAAAAGCCTTTGACTGTGTGGACCACAGCAAACTATGGCAAGTCCTTAAAGAAATGGGAGTGCCTGACCACTTTATCTATCTCCTGAGAAATCTG